TGGGTGCTTTTTATTCTTTACTTTTTACAGCATACTCACTACACGTACGAATTCCTTTTTTATTCTATTTTACAACTGCATACAAAATGCAACAAGCAAAAATTATTTTATTCACATACTTAGTGTTGTATGCATGTTGTCTGGAGGCATTATGGCGTAAAGTAAACAGAAGACCCTAGCAGGCCTAAGTTACACAATCAGGTGGTCGCGAGGCCACCTGCGTTTTAGTCTTCTATGAGGGTTGGAAGGAAGGGTTGAGCCGGACAGGGTGACAATTAAAGTGTTGCCATGAGATGATAGTTTGATGAGTGAACTTGTCGGTTTGTATATACGTCGAGTTCGGATTGGATAGTGATGACGTGGAATCGATTTTGCATTGTAGGGATTGGATTTTGCTAAGCTTGGAACTCGGGGCTGTCTGTACAGTAGAAATCCGTTGATCCAAATTGGTGCGATTAGGGTAGTGTATAATAGTTTTTTGTTCTTTTGTCATGTAGTCTCTTCAGTATTCTATATCTAAAGTTACAGTAAATTCGTTTCAGTCTTTGTGTGTGTGTGTGTGTGTGTGTGTGTGTAGATTCTACATAAGGCTTTGGACCACGTAAACTCCAAGATATCGTATTCTATAATAAATAGACAAGTGGAGAGCTTTCAGATTAAGAAAAAACGTGACGATAGCTCAAGTCGTTAGAGCAGCGGCGTATTGCGCCGAAGGTCATGGGTTCGAATCCCGCTCGTGACACTAACTTTTTCAATTCAACCTGTAACCCCCGGTCTGGTTTGTCCTGACCAAAAGAAAATTTTGTACGGGCGCCAGATAGTCTTTTAACTATCAAGGGGGGGAAACAAATGTTGGCGGCCAAGAGATAGCTCCGCGTGAGACGGGAGGGTTCGCAATGGACCTGACTATTTGTTAGGTAAAGAAATTAAAGAAAACAAAGAAATAAAAGTGTGATGGTTAACTAAATATATTTACACATAACGAAAAGAAATTAAGGTACTTATCCTAACTAAACTAAAACTATATACATAACATTTAGTTCTTTAACATACAATAAAATGTCTGAAGTGAGCACTCACTCGTTATCTTCTCCGAGACAGACACGAGACAGTATCCGATGACGTGAAAGGAAACGATATTCCGGTAGATGAAAAATTTTCGAACACGCTCGTAGGACGACTCGTGGAATCCTGACCGTGCTGATGTGGCTTCCTCTCCGCCCGCTCCAGTTCCGGCCAAAGTTCAAAGCGTCCGAGCCAACAACATCCACACCAACTCCGGGCCACGACTTAATTACCCGGTTACAAACCAAAACCTTACGTAAACAGGTTAATTAATTTAAAGAAGCAATTTGGTTAATCAGACCACTAAATATAATGGATGTATTAAGGAAAACTATGTATTTAGAGTTTTGATTATTTAGGTTGATGTTGTCGAAGCCATGGTTCAAGTATATGAAAAGCTAGGATTAGAGGTTGCATACAAAAGTAAAGGGATTGATATTTGTGGAGAATGTAAAGGTGTTGGTATACAATGGGAGATGAGGTGTAAAGTGAGGGAGCAAGTCTTCTTACCGTGGAAGAAATAGAAGAAGAGGTGCCTTGGGTTACTTGGAAATATCGGTTCTTTAGGAACGGTTTGAGGATAATGTAGTACGTAAATGGAAGGATGCTCATTAACTTTCACAAGCCCTCGTGCCGATCAAAGACGTGGGATATGCCAAGGAAAACACCAGGACGGTATTGTTTTAGCTCGAAGTAGGTGGCGATGGTGTCGACAACGCGGTGGGCTAAAGTTTATATGTTGCGAATGTCATTGACATATTTATTGGTATTGACACGAATTGTAATTATTAAAAACTTAATAATTAAAAAAAAAACTACCTTCAGATACTGGAATAAAAAAGCAGAGAGCTTTATCATCCTGAGATTTTAAATGGCGGATGGTTTTGTAAAGGGTAACGGTTGATTATGCTGACAGTTAAAAATAAATAAATACAATGTAAAACTTAAAAGCAAAACACTTTCTCGCTTCAGATTATAAACACGTAACTATTGATTATAGTCGATAAAAGCTTTAAAGGGCATTTTCGGAAAATTGCTAATTATGACCATTAGTCAACTTATTGTCAGAGATCGTGTTGATAAACGACCAAAAAAAGGTACATTGCATTCTTGTTATGTATAAGATGAATCTATTTTAAATGTTATAGGTGTGGAAAAAATAGAACCAGAAGCTTTAAGTAGTAACGAAGTAGTGATCTAGGTCCGCTGGTTTTAAATTTAAGCATTTTTCAGACATAACTTATTTCTGTACACGGTGATTGTATCCGACCGGAAGCCTCTACACCCTCCTTAGATGATCATCAGCGGTGATTATGTAAGAAAAGCGTTCTAGTGGAGAGCAATCAGCGTACAGATTCCGTTCCGGTTCGTAGCTTCACCTCGGCCCACACGGTAGCTTCCCACGTCCCTTGACGTCATACGTCCCGATCCCGCCTTAAACGACAAGATTTATCTTGGAACCGTCCGGGACGAAACGTTTAGAGTGGGACTCGAATCGAAAGGTTTACAAATGTTTCCAGGCCGAATGGATTTTACGCGATACCGTAACTGTAAACCTACGTCTACGTCCATCCTAATTCGACTATACTATATTTCATTTGTAAATTGTAAACTTAGCAATTAAGAGCATCTCGCAATTTTTCAGAAAAATTGCAAGAAGAAGAAAAAACTCGCCTTTTTACATGTAGTTTGATCGTTTCGGATGTGTATATAACCTCGCCAAATCGGTCTGTCAGACACATTTGACGTTTCGTCATCTTCAGTGGTGATTCTGCGTCACTTTGACATAGCGACCACCGGCCTATAGATTCATCACTTGCTTCCTTCCAGAAGAAATCCCACTATCTATTGTCTATCAGGATGTTACTATTTGTCAGAACAATTTTGATATAACCTATGTTCGCTAAGCGTAAATTTACTCTTGACACGATTGGTGTCAAAACAATTCCAACGCTTTATACGGCGTCACCACTGAGCAACGATGGTTGGGGATGTGGATCGGCCTTCTTCGGTTGACAATGGCTGCCAGAAATCGGCGTGGGTTAATTCACTTATTTTCGAAATGTGTCGCAACTGGCACCGTTACAGGGCGACCCACACTTATGTCTACAAGTTACCCCTTTGGACGCACTATTGCGCAATCCGGTTGACACAGCCGAACACACGCTGAAAAAAAAAACTGGATTTCAACCGGATGATTGGCAGAAAATGTCTCAACGGCAGTAATTTCATTGTCGTTTGAACTTATTTTTCTCGACCTCAGAATCATGCCATCATGGGCTTACTGCTTATCATGGTCTAGTATCTATAACAAATCGTTCATTGTATGCACTAATGAACTAAGAAATTCTTTGGGCACAAACATACAACATTGAAAACTACATTTAGGCAATGTTATACTATAAATAAAAATATTAGAAACACAAATCAAGCAAATCTTGGTAAAAATCCATTTAAAAAATTCCTCCAATGGTTTAAACTTGTCTAAGCTTCCGGACTTAATAATATGAATGATTACACTAAAAGAATATTAATTACACACGTGCACTTAAAAAAAATTAACTTCACGAATAAGCTTTATATAGCTGTTATTGTGCATACGTTATAATTACTATAATATTATGCTATATTAATAATTATATTGTATTAATGGTATTATAATATTTTTGTATAAATAAGCAGATCAAATTATTGCCTCTAGCCATATAGCAGCGAATTATATTTCAAGGATTTATTTAAAATAAGCCTTGGGTATTGTGGAAAGGGGTCTTTTATGTGGAGCCTTGTTCGAGGTAATCCTCTTCAAAACAAGTGCTATTTAGGCTTAAACTGTTCTTCCATTATGTGCATTTAATCGGATAAGACGTATTAGATTATTCAGCTTCTGCATAAAACACGATTCAAGTTTAAAAAACAAGTTAAGATACTAGGGGTGTTCACGATCTTTGTGCTAACTCTGTTAGATCGAGAAAAATGATGACGTAGACTTGTAAGAATCGGCTAGTTAACATTGCTCGATCTAACAGGCCAGGCCCAATGTTAGGCGTTAGGTCGAAAATGTAGTCACATTGCTATCCGTTAGGGCGTAGGTAACCAACATGGCAGCCATGAATTTAACAGCTGTTTTTTTTACACGTATTTTTATTCTTAACTACGTCTTAGTTAAATCAGACCAATACTTTCTTTTGTTAATTTCTGATCTGACCTTATACTACATTCATAATAGATACATTCCCTAACCTATAAAGTTGTAGGCTGTTAAACGTTAAGATACAAGCTAGGTATGTCAGAATTGAAGCGTGTCATTTGTTAGTACTTTTCTTGTGCATAGATAGTATTTTGAGTGAAAGAGCTGATTAATTTTCCTTTTTTATTAACTTCTACCATCTTACAATTTCACACAAAAGAAAACCAAACAAACAGCAAGCCTTCAAGAACTGTTACAGGTTTATTTTCGGTTCTATCAATCACCACGCGCAGCATTGTGGAAAAATTAACATTTAACATGATAAGAAAAAAAAGGGGGCGTTCACGATCTTACTGGACATTTATCTATTCGCGTTAACACGAGTTAACATCTTACAAACATCGTGAATACCCCTACTATCCGCCTTTGTAGTTATATAAATTTATCCTATGTACAAATTTACATTTGTAAAGAGTTGTACGACGTCTGCTAACTAATTGGACGAAGATGGACGTAGCAGGCATGCGGAATCATTTCGCTCGTACTCGTGGGCGTTGCCGGGCCATTTTGGTCATCCTCGAGCTCTTGCCGGGCGTCCCACGTCGACGCGTTTAAGTCTCGTAATAAAAGGGAAAGGGTACAGAAAACTCAGAATTTATATTCAGTAGAAAGTGACGTTCGTCAGACTCTGAAATTCGCAGTGTGTTCTACTTGGATAAAATCGGAATAAACTATGCGATCGACTTACGACACGATGGGAAGAAAAGCTGCACTGGTCTTGTCAACCTACCTATAACAAAAAACAAAAAGAGATTACAATTATAAACGGTTTTTTGATAAATAAAAAACTTTATAAACTATAACATTTGGAATAAAGACTTTTAGACATACAGTTTCTTTTACTTACTAACACTGAAATCAAATAATGATTTAATAGGCTAAATGTCTGTAAAATTTGTTCAATGTTAAAATGGTTTTGGTTGAAATGAAAAAGCTTGTGCCACGAGCGGGATTCGAACCCAGTGGAAGGTTCGAATTCCGCTCGTTGCATTAGCTGTTTCATTTCAACCAAAACCTTTCATAAAAAGATTAATTAATTAAAAGTTATATTTATAGTGTTATTCCATGAAGTCCAAGTCACAATGTTGTGCCTCACGCTTCAAGTTTGACATAACGAGTAAACAGGACAATAACCCATTTCCACAATTTTGACAATTTGTGCATTAAATGATTTCCGACATGTCAAGTGTCTTGTGAAAAATTGATAAGCTCAACTTTTCATTTTACTTAATTATTCAGAAATCGTGCGGTCTGGTGAGATGTAGGTTTCAGAAAAACATTTTCTTTATTGTGCCAACGTTTCGATCTTTATTGAAATCATCTTCAGGGCTCAAAGTGTTTTTTTCTGCGTAATTGTGCCATTCTTGCGTGTCGTGTTCAGCGTGCCCATTTTACTTTAATAAATATAATATATTTTATTATTATCTTCTTCAATAGTGACTTAGTATTTTTTTTAAAGACAAGACTGATTAAAGCACAGACCGAAGGTGACGAGAAGCCGAAATGACTGTAAAACCAAAACATTGAGAATAGGCGCACCAAAATAATTGAAAATGTCCAAAACTAAATGTTCATCACACGGCATATTTCAAGAATTGACTATTGCCAAGTAATATTGACTTAAACCCTCGGTTGTAGAATCCTAAGTTAAATGTTAAATCCAATCGAAAGCGGCTTAATCGGTTATTGTTTAAAGTCCATATATGGGAAAAGGACTTAGCAGGTGACTCAACTTTGTCGTCAAACATCCTTTCGTACCTCCCACCCGTCTGCCCTGAGTTGCATTCAAATTGCACGGACGGATGAAGTGGGTTTGGAATTTTCGTAAGGTTTATCTGGTGTCCTGCTTTCTCATGGCTTCATCGATGACACAAATCTAGAATATTTGCGCTTTTCACATTTATACGAAATAACATTACGGTGGTTTTGGACTTAATTTTAGGACCAGCGGGAATAGTTTCTAAGTTTACTGAACTATTGAAATAGGTAGTTTTGGAAAATTACTAAGAGCAGGCTATTAACTTCCATTTTTAATCATCAGAATAAATCGACATCCATTTTCTCAATGCTGAATTGTCGATTTATGTAAAATAAATTTATCGTTTAATTCTGTGAACACAGATTTATTACCTGAAAAGGTACTTAAAATGAAGTTTTCACATGGCCAATGAGCAATAGAGCCGCATTGCCAAAAGTTGCACCAAAAGGAATAAGATTTACGAGATTAAAAATAAATAATCCTTGTTTATTTATATTTTTAAATTTAAATTTTTTTTTTTGCATCAAGTAATAATTTATTTTAAATCAATTAGATTTAGTGGTCTATTGACCAAATTACTTCTTTCAATTAATTAATCTTTATGTAAGGTATTGATTGAAATGAAAAAGCTAGTGTCACGAGCAGGATTCGAACCCACGACCTTCGGCTCAGTACGCCGCTTGAGCTATCATGACTTCGATCCACTCAGACACCAACTCCCCATCTCAACCTACACATTCGAATCCCGCTCGTGGCACTAGCTTTTTCATTTCAACCAAAACCTAACTTAAAAGATTAATTTATTTTAAGTTCATTATTTAGGGTGATTGAACAAGTAGGACAAAGTCCGTCAGGTGCTGCTTCTACACCTCAAACACAGCAAAAAGTTCGTTTGAACCATGGATAATCAAAACAGATAAATTGCGTTGATTTTTTTGATTTTGTAAATTTATTTTGTTAAAGTTGGGTTGTACAACTACTGTATTGTTGTTCTTTTTGTTTTGTCTGCGTTTAGTGACGATATTTTGTCAAATTTTTCTGGACTGTTGGTTGTTTATTATCTCTGTATGTGTTTTGTTTCGTTTTTGTGCTTTTTTAATAAGTTGAAGTTGAGAAATAAAGTTCCGCCTGGACAAAAAGTTGAATTACTGTTTGAGTTAATCCCACTTCCCCTTTTTCACCCAGTCACCACTTTTTTCCTCATTTAGCACAAAAGTTCTGCATTTTGGTTAGACGTAATTTAAAACAAACTGTATCGTTCGCTTATTAAACGAAGAAGTTGTTATGAAATTTGCCAAGCCCTGATGTTCAAGAGCTACGAGCAGATTTATGACGAAAACCGTAGATAGTTGAAAAAAAATTGAATATCAGCGAAAGAGTTGAAAATCGGACTGCTAACATTTTTGTTGCATTTGAGGTGTTGAAGCACCTGACCAATTTTGTAAGTGTATCACCCTATATATTAGTTTATTTATATTTTACAAGGATTTTTATTTATGTTGAAATATTTCTTTTTACAAGATAGGTACCTTTAGGCATTGCATTTTTTTCTTTTTTTATTATAATGATATGTATTATTTTTTGGCCAATGGCTACCCTACTGTAAAAGCTACTGCTGAAACACAGTAAATTTATATTTATTCAATCGTTGTTTCATAGATGAAACAAAATTATCCTCATAATTAATAACGAGAAAATTAAACGATTCTAATTACAAATCACTTGTCTTGCACATCGAATCTCTCAACTCTTCCATGCCCGTCATAAATTACTTGCAGTAACAAGGTTGTTCGAGATAAATGAAAGGATAATAAATCATAAATATGTTGATATCTAGATATCATTCCTTGGGTACGTCCGAAAGAGAAAAAGGGTCGATCTTGTTACATTTGATAATATACAGCGCTAATTAATATTTAAAGTATTAGATTTAAAATTATGCTACCGACCGTAATAAATAATCTCATAATGATCAATTAAAATGTTAATTCGACTATTTTTAAACAGATAATTAGAAACCAGAACGTTCAAAATAATGTTACAGACACTTTCAAACAGAGGCTTAATTAACATGAGTGAAAGTGGCTGGTAACACAAAAGGTCTCGGTCATTTCTTTGGTCCACTTTTCCATCGTACCTGCATGTCTGAATCCCCATTACTCACAACTTTCATAATATCAATATTGATGATGATTGATAAAATGTTTCCATGCGAGTCTGTTCGAGCATTTCTCATAATTCATTATATTTAGTGGTCTGATTGACTTGTGTCTATTAATCTTTTTATGTAAGGTCTTGGTTGAGATGAAAAAGTTCGCGTCACGAGCGGGATTCGAACCCACGACCTTCGGCTCAATACGCCGCTGCTCTAACCACTTGAGCTATCGTGACGTCTTTCCACTCGGACACCAACTCCCCATCTCAACCTACGACCTTTCGAATTTTCCCTCTTTTTTGCCATTTTTCAAATATCGTGTAATCAGGATTCGATTCTCAGCGCCTTATGAAGTGGCCATGGGGTGTTGTTGGCGGGGAAAAATTAATTGTTCATAGTCTTCATTAACACAAAACAGGCATTAGTTTGTCAAAAATGATCATTAACGACCACTTTACAGGTTCAATCCCGCATACCACATGGAAAACATCACAATTTTTTAAATTTAGTTGTCCCCCAATTGGATGCATTGCATTGCGTAAATTGTTATCTGACTGGTATTTAGATAGTGCAACACTTTTTTTTTAGTAATCAGGCTCCTTATCTGCATATCTCTTCTTTTTTTAAAAGGCTAAATAAGTATTCATAACCACCGTTTTTAATTTATTAATGTTAAAATATTTCATTTTAGAAGATAGGTATCTTCATGTATTACATTTTATCGTTTTCCTTACTTTTTTTATTTGTGTGATTATTGTTTTTTGGCAATGGCTCCCCACTGTAAAAGCTGCTGCTGTAATTCAGTCATTTTCTATCCTATTGCTGTTTCATAGATGAATCAAAATTATTCTCAGAATTAATATCCGAAAAAAATCCTTAACCATTCTGATTAAAAATCACTTGTCTTGCAAATTGAATCATTTACTGCAAGTTTGTTTCTTTTTTTAAAGCTAAATAAATATAACGATGATAACGTTCAATAACTACCGTTCACATGATGCGGTAATGTCGTCTACGTTATTTTCTATACAAACCCCTTAAACTATCAACTTTGTTACATATTTATAGTGGGTAATATTAAATATCATATATATTTAATTAATTGATCAATTAATTAATAATGAAAAAGTGTGTCACAGACGGGATTCGAACCCTGGTATGGGCGATCGAAGTCTCTCGAAGTTGCTCAAGCGGTTAGAGCCTCGGAGTATCCCAATATGGCGTGTTCGAATCTCGGCTGTGACACAAATTTTTCATTTCGAAAAATCGTGTATAAGTATAATCAATTGACTATACATAATTAATGATTATTTGGAGATCGTGAGGTTATACAGATCATCTTCAGGGCTCAAATTGTTTGTTTTCCGTGTATGTAACACTTTGAGCCCTGAAGATGATGTCAATAAAGGTCGAAACGTTGGCATGATGAAGAAAATGTTTTTCTAAGGCCTACGTCACACCAGACCGCACTCACGATCTCCGAATAATCATTGACTAACGGTCACTAAACAGCACACATATTTAATAAAAATAACAATGATAAAAATTGGTACATTAAACATTATGTAATAAGGTATAATGGGATGACCGGGTTTCTAAATTCTATTAATATACACAATGATGAATCATATCTTAATTGCGAGAATGCAGAACTAATAGAATCGTAAAACAACTAGAAGATGAAGGACAAATCATCCGAATAAAGAAGAATTTTTTCCACGTCATGGCGATTTTGAAATGAGATTAAATATTGATCACTATTGAAAATAGACAGACCTCGAGAACAAGTAAAAAAATATTCAAATTTTAAACTAAAAGAACATGAAATAATGTCACAAACTACATTCTATCAGAAATTGCCAAGTACACGGGATCAATAATACATATTTGTAGTAACTTAGGTCTAAGATACTGAAGATATGGAAAAGTGAACGGATCCATATCACACAGTTCACAATTAATTAAGGTTTTTAGTTAAGATAAAAAACTCAGAGTCACGAACGGGATTCGAACCCACGACCTTCGGCTTGATACGCCGCTACTCTACCAATTGAGCTATCGTGAATTGGTCAAGCGGATCACGAAAACTAGTGAATTGAACTGTTCACAAATTTGTTTTTTTATTTCACTTATTTTCACCTAAAACTGTATATGTTTTATATGTAAGCAGCAGCCCATTGGCAGCCGTTTAATATGATATTAATCATTCAAGAAGCCTCTTGTCCATATTCTTTTCGACCGTCAACGGGGTAATTGTGGGATATGGAGTAATCGTATTTGTTATTGTAATCTTGTAATTAATTTACTGTGCAAAAGTCTGTAATATTTTTTTTATGAATAAATCATGTGAAGATCCTCTTGGAATAACTTGCATATCCTTATATCCGTAGTGATTTGAATATGTGTATGTCGAAATTTTTGATTTTAACGGTAATTATGGTCGTCAAGTCAGTATGTAGTAAAGTATTTTAAGTCGTTAAGTGTCTGTTTATTTAAATCGTGTGAGCGAATTGCAAGTTAGTCTTCTTTCAAATATACCTAAATAGGTAACTTTGTCAGATTGAGGAACAGTTTTATTGTATACTCGGACATGTCCCACGGCGTAGTGTAAAGGTGGGTTGAACTTCATTTTTCAAAGATTGCTCCATTTTTCAATTGTTGACATTTGGTTTTGAAACGTAAGTGAAGCTTGTGTAGAAGAGGGGTGACTTGTTAATACCGCGGTGTCATCCGATAAGTGCATTCTCATTTGTGGGCATGTCAGAAGTAAAAATTGTGTACAATGGCGGAGCGAGTATTGACCCCTGAGGCACTGCAAGCACTTCTTTCAACTCAGAAGTCTTTGATCCCGGTTTACTGAGAAAAATCTCTCCTTTGGGTGTGATTGAGTAAGATGTTAATAAGCCTAGGGGAAAAATAGTTTTAATTTGCACAATAGTCCCTCATGCCATATTTTGTCGAAAGCCTGAGAAACATCTAAAAACACTACAGTTTCTGCTCGAGATATGAAGTAATGCCATCAGTACTTTGAAGTTGATGTCTAGTGGGTTGGTGGGTTCGAAAACCAAATTGATGGTCTGGTAATACGTTGTTCGAAGTAAAAATAGAGATATTTATTTTGTAAATTTAGAAAAAAAGACAGGTAACAACCTAATAGAACGATAAGATGATGGGGAGCTTAAATTTTTAGAAGGCTTTCGGACCATTTGTGACTGCTTTTAATGGGAAATTGTGTAGTTCTCAATACTACATTAAATAAAGTAGTCAGAAAGACGGCTTTTTTGAGGAAGTTCTTGAACAACTTCAGACGTTACCAAATCCGGATAATTTTTCTTTAGGAAACTGTCGTATTCGCAATTTAAATTTAAATTGAAATTAAACTATACCACATGGCAATTATACCATTTTTTTTACGAGGGTTTGCAACAGAAGAGATCATATCAACGCTGTTTTGGAAAAAAGCCCATTTGTATGTCGGGTTCGAATCAGGGGCGCTGGATTCGAACCCGGGACCTTTACCCTACAGTGATGATCGCCGTGTCAACGCCACCCGTTGCGGCCACCGACGCCCACAATTATACCATATCTCAAAAGTATTACTTAATCATCTATGACATATTCTTAGTCGCCTTTGTTAAACTCTAGCACGATTTCACTCGTTCGTACAGTTTCCAGCTAATGTATTTATTTGTTTGCCTGCCCATTAGTGTTTCTTGTTTGGACGGTAATTAACCCCTTGTTGTGGCACGTGGAAGGGAGATCTCATTCATGTTTTTTCCTGTTTAACTATGAATTGTGTAATTCGTGTCGTCGAGACCCGAATTAGGACGAGATAACATCGTTATCGAATATCGGCTAATGTAATGTTGAGATTGAACGTTCGTCGAATATACACGGATGATCTCATTGAAAAGTAAATTCAATAATTGCAATGGTGGCGGAATTAAAATTCATTCGTACATTTCAGGAATTTTATACTCGAGGCCAAATTTTATCCAATGACAGTTTCATATCTGGTATTTATGTAAAAAACCGGAGTTGTAGCCGCAAATTTCGTTGGCCACGTGTCTGATAAACGAAACATTTTCGACCCAAATAAGTACACGGTTAAATTTTTCGATTTACGGTCGAATTTAGACGCATTACTCTGCAAAAATTCAAAACACGGGTTCCACGCAATTCGCAATTTGTTAGCCTTGTTTAGATGTTTTGGTTATTGGCATTTTTGGCAATCCATAATCCGAAGATACAAAATCCTAAAACAACTCAAAACTAACCAGTGAAACTACAGAACTTCTGACTTAAGCACGACAACGAAAGTTTTTAAAATATCCATTTTTGTTTCTTGTTTCATTATTTTGAATAGTTTTTAGTTTATTCACAGTTTTTCTTTATAGCGTTTAAGGCAAAATTCATAGCAGATTTTCCCTTGTAAGAATAGCTCTCGTAAACGCAATCTAATTCTTCTAGAAGTCACGTGATGGTTCCAGATGATCTAATACCTGTACATTTGCAATAAACCCGGGCAATTTCCCTTGAACGGCCTGATAAAAGTAAAAGTAAACTGAAATATGCCGACGTTTCGGAAAGTAGTAACCCACACATTCTGCGACTTGATCTTATAAACTTACTATTTGCAAGAAACAATGAACAGACATCAGATATCGAATATGCCCTGTTTTAGTAGTAAAGCGGCTGACGTACCACATAAATTTTCCAAGTCGTAAATTCAACGACGACCAGGTCAGGCCGGTTTATTTACAGTCGTCTAAAGTCACAATTTCATAAAAAATATCATAAATAGGCAGTCAGTTTTTAGTAAATTTAACTAAACGCCATCTCCCGAAAAACTTGACTCATGAATCACAAATTTGGATTGCATAACTCATAAACGTTCAGAATATTGTCTTGGTTTGAAGCATATTCTGAAATACAGTTTCCTTAAAATATTAAAAAATTGAATCACGCTTGGAATCTATCCGTGATCTAGAAGAAGCTGAGAAGGTTTGCGAATCAATGTTATTCGACATACCGAGAACGCTGAAGCTGAGGCTGCCATTGGGGCGTCCCTTGCTGAGAGGTCGCGGCATGTCACTGTTCAACTATGCACAAAACATACACTCACGGACCGACATGCTACGCGGCCGGTTCCTTTCGGCTGACTGTCCACCCTCAGCCCGTGGCATGAATGGATTGCCTCCCACCAGCACCTCTTTTCCTCCCTGGTATCTACACAAATCCTCTTTCTCTTCAGTCCTCCCACTCCCGTCTTTTACCCGAGGCGAGATGACTCACGCCGGCTTTCGAACGTGCCGTTTCCAGCTCGGGCCGTTGACAATGCGAGCGGGTGAGCCTATCCTTGAAACAGACGTTGACTTCACATCAAAAACGAAAGTGTAATAATGTTTTGGAATCGTCTTTAAATATCGAAAGTACTGTTAGTAGTGTTTGTAAAGCGCATCATAACTGTTTCGTGCCTGTGTCTTAATGTTTCCAATGCCTTACTTATTACACATCCCAAAGAATATGCCATCCGATTCTTCTATTCTCACCACCATCCCGATGCCATACGTTATGGGTTCTGTCTTCAGTTAAATAGCATTACGCCTCTAAATACGAACGTGTTGAAGCTCACAAAGGTCAATCCAGCACTAATCTCCGACTGGATAGTCCCACGTACGGGCACTAAAATTAACATTAATGGGTTATGAACTGGTTCTCTCTTCACGGGAACGCGTTGATGCTCTCAACAACTACCAACACTTTAAAACGCGCCCGGTATTCCTATTATATTTTGCTATTGACAAAAGTTCTCACTTTTTGAACGCAAACCCACATTTTAGTTTTAGTGGATTACGTTAGAAAGTAAAGCCCGTTCCATATGTGAGAAACGACATTGTAAATGAGAAAAAAAAACATTAATTAAAAAATCCCACTCTTATTTCATTCGAGAACGAAATACTCATCTGTGAAATAGGAAAGTACGGGCAACATAATTAAGTCATAACGTGAGACGCGGTCTGGTGTGACGTAGGTTTTAGAAAAACGTTTTCTTTATCGTGCCAACGTTTCGAACTTTCAATTAATTAAGGTTTATAGTTGAGATAAAAAAGTCAGTGTCACGAGCGGGATTCGAACCGACGACCTTCGGCTAGATAGCCGCTACTCCACCACTTAAGCTATCGTGACTTCGATCCACTCGGACACTCGCTCATTTGTCGCCGAGAATCAAATAGATTACACGACATTTGAAAAATGGCAAAAAGGAGGGAAAATTCAAAGGTGGGGTTGAGATGGGAAGTTAGTGTCCGAGTGGATCGAAGTCACGATAGCTCAGGTGTAGAGTAGCGGCATATTTAGCCGAAGGTCGTGGGTTCGAATCCCGCTCGTGACACTGACTTTCTTATCTCAACTAAAAACCTTAATTAATTTAAATATATTAATTGGTCAAGCGGACCACGAAAACTAGTGAATTTAATGGAGTCTCGATCTTTGTTGAGATCATCTTCAGGGCTCAAAACGTTTGTTTTCTGTGTAGATGTGTCATTGTGTGTCGTGTTGAGAAAACAAAAACTCTGAGCCCTGAAGATGATCTCAATAAAGATCGAAACGTTGTCAAGATAAAGAAAACGTTTTTCTAAAACCTACGTCACCAAACCGCATCTCACGATCTCCAAATAATCATTAAATCATAGCAATTACATATTCAGGAAGTACTTTAAAAAATTGACTCGTGAATCTTTGTGTCAAGACAATATTAGATATTGCCGCACAGTTTCAAATTGCTTATTTAAAATATTTAAAATGCCAAATGAAGACGGCTGCATCGGGACAAGTTAGCATTTCTTATGAGAAATTTCAAGGTTCTACATACTTGTTTTCCCTCCTTCGTTTGTGAGATGAAATCTATAAATATCAGGTCAGGGATCTTTGGATGATTTTTTTTTTCAACATGGCTCGATTCGTGTGTAAAGTTGATGATGAAAATGATTATTATTCCGCTTGAGTTGTAAATTTCTTAAGAAATTTTGCTCATTCAGCGGCTGAATTGAATAAATTACACGAACAGAAATACGTGTACAGAGAATCGTAGATCATAAATGTTCTGAGATATTTACAAGTCCTTCGTTTGTTTGTTCGATTGCTCATCAGCGATACGACAGGCAGTGGACAGACGCAGCTAAACCACAACGTGTCGGAAAACTTGCAGTGTCAGCGAGTGGAAAGGTGTAAAAAATGGAACCGGATCAAAATGGATAGCGCATCGTTTGCCATTCACGTCCCTGGTCGGCCCACGCCGTCGTAACGCGACGCCCACCAGCGCGGGCATTCTTCTCTAAACCCATTCATACGGAGAAGGAGGAAGACGGAGAAAACGCACAAATCATGAGCTATTAGCTATGGTATGTCTAAATCCAAAAAAGGCTTCTAAGATCACACTGGAAATACTTTATAACCTTCATGCTACCTTTAATAACACAATCAGCTCGTTGACTTCCTGAAGTTCTGTGAGGTTATCACTCGCCAGTACCCGTCACCCCAAAAGTATACGTAAACTGCCGAATTGCACATGATTTTGCTATTTTGCCGCAGAAATGCTTACCATGGTACAGTATCCACCGAATGCTCGGCACAGCCCAAAAAGTTGTTTTTGATCCATATGATCTCTAAAAGAAGACCGCATCACCCAAACTTAAAGACATATTTCCATCCAGAACGTGAATTATTCTGGATTGCGTGACCAAAGTAATAATAAATGACATGTTGGGTCCAAGGAGAGGAAGCGGATGCCCTTGCAAGTCGAGAAGCAGCTACACAGGTAAAATAATTTAATCTATACAGAACTGCTTGGAATGAAGAGTAAAAAGGGGTTCAGTGATCACAACGGTTAAGGCGTTGACACTGCGCTCATCGCCATAAAGCAAAGGTCCCGGGTTCGGATCCAGGAATCCAGAGGCCCTGAATTCTAACACGACATACTTACAAATGGAATTTTTTTTCAAAATCCAATCCAATAACTTTGTAAAAAAATATATATATAAATTCACTAAAATTTACATAGTATTTAAGTATTTACTATATATTTTAAGGGAAAACGTTCAGAATGATCCAAGAGAATTCAAAATGTTAATTTTTCGCAGCGGGAAATTGCATAAGATTTGCGGAAAAAAGGACGAAATGTTTTGCGACGGTGGAGGCCGAAGTCCGTCCATAAATAGACCGTGAAGTGTGAATGGTCCGAGTTGTGGGCTAAGCCTCCGGAAAGTCGGTGGGCGTTCACCATTCACAGCTTCGGCCAAGACGTGGGCGAACCTGGAAAGGAGCGTGTAGTCTTTAAGCCCCCCCGTTGGAAAACGGTTCATTCACGTTTCCGATGATAAAAATCAATAAAGGGGACAAGTTTTCGACTAATTTCAACACTCGTAACAGCTAAACTTTACGACTGACCTGTTCTCAAGGAGCCAAACGGATTATAAGCTATATTTTTCATATTAAAAGGAACGTTGATTAGAAGGAAGAGGATATTTTTCAAATCTGTCCAACTGGTGAAAGGGATTCGGGCCATCGGGAAAAAAATTAAATACAAAATAGACAAAGCTGGACATCACATTTGTTCCAAGCGAACATGTTTTGCTTTACTCATGTCACTGCTCTATGTTATTAATGCTCTATCTTATTCATATAATAATAATATTATTTATTAAAATTATTTACTGATTAGAGCGTCTGACTCGTATTTGCCTCCTAGCTGTTCTGGGTTCGAATTCCCGCATGTGCTTAGATTATTAATCATAATAATATGATTCTGTTCTAGATTATTTATGTAATGTTTAATACATTGGAGGGAGAAAAATCAAATCGTTATCTAAAGGAAGGGTGATTTTGCTCCTTAAGTCTGCACAGTGACATGTAGCTTGGTCATTTCCGGAGTCTTCTCTGTTGTACGATCGCACAGTTAAAATAAAAATAACTTAATGTCTTTTAAAATTTCACATCCAAACCATACCTAAAAATTTTCCAGTTTAAAGTATTGCTGATTTTCGGTTAGGCGCAGGGAACAGAAAACATTGTTTATCAGGACACATACTCCCCAAAACGATTGTTGCGGGTATATTCGTCCTAGGTGGTTCATTCGTTTGGAAAAAGACATGATGCATCAATTTCGACAATTTTGTTAGGTCTAACAATTTTTCGGAAATTTTGAAGAAGATAACATAGCAAATGGATTTGTAAAAAGTATTCACCACAGTTGTAAGATTGTAATTTGTGTATTGTTTTCTCCGTGAATATGACTAAAAATAACATCAAAATATAATTTGCTTCCTTTTAACCACATAACTTTTCTTACTCCTATGTCTACTATACGCGACATACTTTTCTACTGCATCTTCACCTGTCGTATGATTCGCTTAAAGTAAGGTTCATTTCGTGTCCGTTAACGCAATAACGATTGTACACTCTCGAATGCCACAATTACACAGAATACAAACACTTTGAGCCCTGAAGATGATCTCAATAAAGATCGAAACGATGGCACGATAAAGAAAATGTTTTTCTGAAACCTACATCACACCAGACCGCATCTCACGATTTCTAAATAAAGTACAGAATACCTTTAAACGAAATTAATAGCTTTTTGAAAGAGGGATATAATTGTCAACGGAACACTCTGCACTGAAAGACACACAAGCATGCAGCGTTCAGCAACAACGGCATCATGGCAAGTATTGTGAAAGTTAACTTCTAGTACTAAAGTCCAGGAATATCGAAAACGCTCCTTATTATACAACATAAAATAAAAATAGCTTTAATGGTTTAAGCTGTATGGTCGTCTAACAGAAAGGAGCACATTTACGATTACTACCACCTTTGGTTGTTACAGTATGTCAGTTCCGTTTCGACATCTTAGTGGCAGGTTCGTGTCTCAGTCGTGCCTTTTTTATTCCTATGTTCTTGCTCCTTCAGGCTTCGCAGGTTTATCACTGAAATGCCGAAACGGACAGGCAGACCGGGATGAACGTCAACGACCAAAATACAATTTGGTTCTTGTTATCCCTCATTTATTGACATTTTAAATGATCTTTGTCGAAGGGTTTTGGGATGTGATCTTTTTAAAAATAGTACGCCATTTATTGCTTTAGTTACTCACAGTAATTAACAAATAATGTTATGTTATCAGAT